AAGGAAGAAAGGAAGAAAGGAAGAAAGGAAGGAAAGAGAAAAAAGGCAGGCTATGAAGGGTGTGTGTTTTGTTAACAAATCAGTTTTATAAGTGTGAAATCCCCAGAGAGCTAACAATGGGCTTTTGGCTAGCTACAGATTTACTAAACCAATCATGACATCATCAGCTTCTTATTGCCAACTTTTCTGTATCTGCATAGTTAAAGTGTTCACCTGGTATTTTACTTTCACCTTTCCATTAGAATGATAGCTGCACACTGCAATCTTTCCAAGCACAACAGGCTGTAAACTTCAGTCCTGATGTACATTATACATAAATTGCATATGTATGGATTTGCATTTGTATAAAAACATTTCAATCATCTTTTCCTCAAAATGAACCTGTGAAATAGACGTACAACTGCAAAGAGACAAGTAATAGAGAATATTCAATTTTACAAACATAATTGGAAAATCTGCCGCACAAGAAGCTGGCAATGCATATATTTGCTTTTCCTTTGAACAAGCCTATGTTCCAGCCCAGATAAACATCTACTTTTCATTTGCAATTTAAAATGGGATATATATATATGTATATATACATATATATATACAGAAATACATTGATACTAACAAATAAATATATAAATGTGAAACTGTGCTCAGTCACAAACACATACACACAAAAATAAGTGTATAAAGTTTATAAATATATAAAACATACATAGCATTCTATAGTATTAGAAGTATATTCTATTATTAGATTATATTTTATGTGGGATAAATATGAAGTTCTTTCTGCTTTTCTGTTCACTGTATATTGAATGTTCAACTTAGTTGGGATAAGTGCAGTGCAATTTACTTTCCTTTTTCATTTTCCTTTAGTAATTTTTTTGTCATGAACAAAAGAAAAGCCAATCAAAGAGCCTTTTGTCACTTTGTTTTGAATCTATTTTCTTCTGAAACCAAATATGGTGCACTGAAACCTTTTTTCCATTTGCTGCATGGCAACAGAATTGTTTGTTTCTTTGAACTAGAGAGTATTTTATAATGGTCAATATAATGGCAGAATCTTGCTAAAGTTTCCCATGCAGACAATGAAGATAATCTGTAATAAATAATCAGTGCTCAGACTGTGATATCTCATTTGTACCAAATAATATCTCAGCAAATCTGTAAGTGATGCGAGCGGGGAATCTCAGTAACAATTTGATGCATTGGATTTTTTTGCACTACAAATATGATGTAGTACAGAAGTATGAGAGATCAAAACAAATTCAATTTAGCTCTGGAAGTAATGCAGCAGAGGCACATGGTCATCTAGGGGGAATAATACTTCTATAGATACATCTACAATGTATCTGAAATGCCTTTTAAAACCTAACTTGGATTTCTCTGTACTGCAATTCCTAACATCTTGTGCAGACACATTCCATGGGATTTATCAATGCAGCATCCTCTCATGTAAGGATATCACAGTTTAGCCAAGGAGGAAGGTAACAGATTAGACATAAACCATTCCTTTTTACTCTTCTTTTCCTTTCATAATTGCTTTTAAAAGAAACATAAAAAAATAAACTTTATTTAGCATTTCACCATTCTATATTCAGCAAACTAGTGAATTAATTTAACATTCTGGACACAAATGGTTAAAGATGTTTCCAAGAGAGATTTTTTGAATTCTAGAAATCTGAAAACAGAACAAATAAAATCAAAAAGGAAAAAAAAAAAAAAAGCAAGCCATTGACATTTTGCCCATTTTCCAAGAGATAATGGAATTTTAAGCTTACATTCAAGGAACTGGGGTGTTTTTCGTCCTTGTGCCACAGGTGCTGTTGTGCGTTTGCCGAAGACTTGTGCATCAAAACTGGCATAATCAAATGGTATTTTCCCAAACTTCTCCTGTTCTTTCATCAGGGTGGCTCTGGAAGAGGTTACTGGTTCTGAAGTTCTGTAATTGTACTGAGCTACTTCAGGTTGCTTTGTTAAATTTGTCCTGCAGAGAGGAGGGAAAGAATGAATGAGAAAGACAAGAATATCTTGAAATAAACTTTTCTTGAAAGATAGGGTACAGTTGCATCTCAGTAACAAATAATGTGCTGTTGCCACAAATAAATCTTTTTGATAGGAGTATACAAGAAATAAATAATCCAAATATGGTGGCTGACCTAGTAGTCAGAGTACTTTGACTTGATACAAGTTCAGTGGCAGACATGAAACAATCTAGTATTTTCTAGTAACAGCATTAGATATTTGCAAAAAAAAAGATGATGATTTACTTCTAGATTGCCACTGTAGCATGACATTTCTTTAATTTTGGAAAATTGTCTGGATTTTTGCTGGTCAAAGAACTTGTAGTTTTATGGATCACTATTGTTCACACTTTACTGTGAATAAGTATGGTATAATATAATATGATCCAAAATAATTGCTTCTGTTATTTGGGAGGAAAGAATGATTTGTGGTATGTTATTCTATTTAGTTACTGTTCAGTAACAACTTGTCTTTAGTAATTTCCTAAGGACTTTTCATATGTAGAGTTAAGGCACGTGCAGTTGGCAGACACATGGACATAATATTCTGTAATGGCTCTGAAGGAACCATTACAGCTGATCATGTCAATAATCCACAAATTAAAGTGTCCCCAAATAGACCTGGATATAATAGGTTGTAATGGTCTTGGTGCCAATGATGGGCAAATTATGCATGTCTGTAGGGTCCATATAACTCTCAAACAAAATACAATTGCAATAAAATGTTTCCCCATTTTGATGCCATTGTATAAAAAATAAATTAAACTAATTAAACCAATAAACTTAAAATAATTATTCAATGGTGGGTAAGCAGAATGAGCAGAGTTCTCAACCCTTTCAGATAAATGCAATGCCAATACGACATGCTACATGGCGTTACTGGAAGACACTTCTGAAAAGAATCATGAAATAAAGGACTGTGTTGCTAACACAGTAACACAGGAAGAGTTCTTGAAAACTGTGTAAACCTTTTCAGCAAGACAAGTTATTTGGTTTACAGAAGACATTTGAGAGCCATTGATTAGGCCATTTGTGTTGAAGTTAGATCTAGTAGAATATATTTGATTGCTTCTCAAAAGATAAGTCTGTTGTATTTTATGTCAGTCACACACACAAGAACTAGCAGAACTCTGTTAATTTTGAGGTACAGTGAAATAATTTATCTTTGTAAAGGTCCACCCTGAAATACTGAGTTACCTCTGTAGCTAGATCTGAAATGGGTGGAACAATAGTGATCAACAGTTCATGCAGAAATACTTTGGAGAGACTAGTTCACAAGGATTCCTACCTGTGAGTGTGATCATGGCACTGCCCAGCTTTTGGAGACTCGAGCTGGTTCTTTTCCTGTGACATTGCCAACTTTTCAGCTGCAGCAATTGGACAACCAGAAAGGCTGTTTAAAAGCAAGGTGAAGAAAGAAAGAAGAAGAAGAAGAAAAAAAAACACTAAAATCAAATCTTAAGTAAAGGAATGGTGTGCTGAGGAATCCACTGAATTTGAACTTTTCTGGTGCCCTGTGCATCTATGGGATCTGCTCTTGTTATGGCCCAGATTTATCTGTTTTTCAACTTAATGCAAAACTGTGAAATCTGTTTATTTAGGGTGATATATCTAGAAACAGAATCATGTAGGTCTTTTCCACAGTTCAGCTTTGATGTTCTGTGGCTGGCAAGTCACTAGCGCAATTTTTAAGAAATAGCATTTACTTTATCAGCTTAACCATGCATAAAAACCTCCTGCTGATTAAAAGCAAACTGAATTTGAGAAAAAAATTAGAGATATATGAGGGATTGTTACCAAATAATATACTTTGTCATTTAAGGTTGTACTTTTTTTTTTCTTTTTTTTTTCTTTCTATCTGTATTATTAGATTAGAATATGTTTTCTTATCCTGTTCATGGGCTGCTTATGATACAGCTGACATGCTACAAGGATGACCGAGGATTTGAAACAGGAAACCCAATGAAAAAGTACTTACTGGTTCCTTATATATTTGTGTAGATGAGCTGGTAATCTCCCTGGTAAAGATTTACTTTTTGTATTAAACACAGTAACATAGTATAATGATCCTTGATTTTGCTGTGCTCATACAGCAACGAATCAGTCACCAGTAAAAAAAAAAAAAATTAAAATGCCACAAAAATTCAGTGCAATGAACAAAGTTGTTTTTGAAGTTTTTCTGTCCCATGTTTGACTGTAAGTTCACAGAATCATAGAATCATTGAATCATTAAGGTTGGAATGGATCTTAAAGATCGCCACGTTCCAACCCTGCTGCCATGAGCAGGGAACCCTACCACTAGAGCAGGTTGCACAAAACCTCATCCAACCTTAAAAACCTCCAGGAATGAGAAGGCATCAACAACCTCCCTGGGCAACCCATTCTACTTCCTCATGACCCTTATAGTGAAGAATTTCTCCCTAATATCCAACCTAAATCTCCCCTCTCTCAGTTTTAAAACTTTACCCCTTTTCCTATCACTAGGACACGTCCTGTTAAAAGCCCCTCCTCATCTTTCCTGTAGGCCCCTTTCAAGTACTAGAAGGCCGCTATAAGGTCTCCCCAGAGCCTTCTCTTCTTCAGGCTGAACAGCCCTAACTCTCTCAGCCTGTCTTCATAGCAGAGGTGCTCCAGCCCTTTGATTATCTTGGTGACCCTTCTCTGCACCCTCTTCAACAGGTCTATATCTTTCTTGTGCTGAGGGCACCAGAACTGTACACAGTATTCCAGGTGGGGTCTCACTAGAGCAGAGTAGAGGGGCAGGATCACCTCCCTGGCCCTGCTGGCCACACTTCTTTTGATGCAGCCCAGGATGACATTGATCTCTGGCCTACGAGCACACACTGGTGGCTCATGTCAAGCTTCTCATCAACTACCACCCCCAAGTCCTTCTCCTCAGGACTGCTCTCCAGCCATTCTTTCCCCAGCTTGTATTTATGTCTGGGGTTGCACCAACCAAGGTGCAGGACTCTGCACTTGGCCTTGTTGAACTTCATGAGGTTGGCACTGGTCCACCTCTCCAGCCTGTCAAAGTCCCTCTAGATGGCATCCTTTCCATCTTGGGTCTCAACCACACCACACAGCTTGGTATTGTCAGCAAATTTGCTGAGGATACACTCAATCTCACTGTCCATGTCTCCAACAAAGATGTTAAACAACACTGGTCCCAGTACTGACCCCTGAGGGACAGCACTCGTCGCCTGCTTCCACTTAGACGTTGAGCCATTGACCACAACTCTCTGGGTGCAGCCATCCAGCCAGTCTCTTATCCACTGAGTGGTCCATCTGTTTGACACTATATTTTTCCAGAAGCACTACAATGGAATACTTTGGCTTGCTAGGTTCCAGCAGAAAGCAGCACTGACAAGAGCCATGGCTGACAGCAGTAACTTGCTGGAGACAGAGCATGTCAGCTTTCTACCTCACCTGCAGCCCAGCTGTGATTCCTCAGCTGCCTGCCTGGGAGGCTTTTCTCAATTTTACTTTCTCCCTGCTGGCAGTAAGATTAGAATGTTTCAAGCAGGAAGATTACATTTGTGAGGGTAGCAAGTGGAGTTAGTTTTTACAGGGATTCTGAAGTAACTTAAATGTCCTGTTTTGCTAAAAGAGAATGTGCCTTGATGGGAAGCTCCTGCTGAGTACTATCATGTATATGGTGCAAAACCTTTGGTTTCCATTGGGTTTTCCAGTTGTAGCAGCAGTAATATATTTGTTCATTCACACCCCTTTTACATCATGGTGTTGCACTGAGAAGTCTAATGAAATTATAGTTTGAAAGCTCATCTGTGAAAAATGTTAGTGGAAATTACCATCCTCAGTGCTACAGACGTTTTTTATATAATGAAATTAAACATAAATATTTAATTATAAGTAATACAGGCTACCCTTGCAGTTCATAGGCATTCTGCAGAGTAGTAGATAACATGTAATTCCAAGATGTGCCCATCACCTTAATCAAGAGTACATCTTAGATTTATAGTGGACAAGAATTTTTCTGATCTACCTTCTGTGTGTGTTGCGGTTGCTGTTGACATGTCCTCTTCCAGTGCATCCTGGGGTGGGGCACTTTAAAACATTTTCATGCATGGCAAGAACTGAACAGGAAGAAGAAGAAAAAAAGTTATAATAACATACATCAATTAAAAATACATATATCAAATTTTTGAACAATTTTTCTGCAGCCTCAGATTCTCAGTACTGTCACATTTTGACCACAAAAGAAAAGGAGAAGCAAGGGATCTACAACACAGCAAGGCTGGTGCCTCCAGCGTATATAAGTCTATCCCTACATTGCTGTAGTGTGGCTTCCCACATGCATATCACTGTTTTTGTAGACTTCAAAAGAACAAAGGCAGAAGTTAGCAAGGATAGTACATCATTAAGCCCTTTGCACTCTGGTTCACATTCCGCTAACACAGTTGACTAGAAAAAGTATTTAGACTTCTTTGATGTGGATCATTTTTACTAGGATTCAGGTTTGTGTTTGTATAAAACATAGTACGTCTTTGTACTCATTACCCCTTTGGGTGCACAGTGCTTCAAAAAAGGTGATTGTTCAGTCACCTGGTTTTGTTCTCTTTGGAACCTAATCAAGATTATGGCAAGACAGGAAACATTGATATGGACTTGTTAATTTTAAACTTTCAGAAGTTAATTTTGCTAAGGCCTTCCAAATGCAGCAGCCTGCTTAGCTCGACAGATGTTTCTATAAATGCAGTTTAGTAACAGATTATTTTTAAAAAGGGAGAACTACAGTTAAGAACAGGAAGTTGGTAAAGTGCAAGTATCCTTTAAATTTGTTGCTATGCTTGCCACCACAAAAATCAGTCTCACTAACTTGGTTGTTTAAACAAGTACTTTCACTTTAGATTTTGGTTTATTATGCAGCATATCACTGTATCACATTGCAGGATTACACACACACACCCACCCATTGTAATGAGATCAACACAGTTAGAAGAAATAAGCAGAGAAAATCAGGCTAGACTGGGCATAAAAGGGTTAACACAATGTAGTCATATGAGAGGGACATGCTGTGGACCAGCACTGAGATGTACTGATGGAAGTAACCTTTTTGAGCCTAGTGGTAAGGGGGACACTGAAAACATCTCTGAATAACATGCCTAGGCTTCTTAGTTACTAGCTAGTAACTATGTAGTCTATGAAAAGATTCATAAGACTACAATATACAGAACTTATTCTTCTCAGGCCACCTGAGGAGCCTTCTGGTGTTTGTATTGCTACTGCTAAGAAGTTCTTGAGTGTCCCCAGTGTGGAAAGCAGGACTGCAACTATGAGCTGGAGGGCAAGGAAGGTGTGATGGCTCCTCTCTCAGTCTTGTTCTGCAATCTCACCCAGAAAAAGTGGGTTTATTCTCCAGCATGAACACGCAGTACCCACAATGCCAGGCCAGATCCAGTTTTTATTCTGGACTGCAGGGTGATGATACTCACTTTCTAGTGGCACTCTAACTTTATGTGGACAGCCTGAGAGACTGCGGTGGTGAGGGTACAGCCCAGTCACGTGCCCTGTGCCATCACATCCTGGGATGGGACATTTGGTTTCTCTCTTTTCAGGCCTGGGTGAATCTGCAGAGAAATCAGATAAGGATTTTGTTTGGTTTTAGCCCCCATCTGTACTCAGCTGAGTGATGCTAGCAGAGTGATACTCTCTAATTTGTACTTCAGTTGTAATTTCAATGAAGTTTTAACAGAGATGTATGTTATTTAAGCATCTCTAGGTTTTCATGTTGTGTCCTTTGAACAGTCTCCCCCCTCCCAGTATTCCATTTATGTGGTGAACTAGATAGTGTTAGGATTGCAATGTCATTTATTCCATTCAGAGCCTCAAACAGGACAGAAGCCACAATCCAATAAGCCCGAAAACTGGCAGCAACAGCCAACAGCAAGATCAATAAAGGAATAAATAGAAAAGCAGAAACAATCTTTTACTGTGTTAATGTCAGACTCCAGGAAGCTGGGAAAAAAAAGGTTAGGTGTGAAAAAAAACAAGCAAACAAACAAACAAAAAGCATTTCATCCAGAAGCCATTCCTTAAATATCGCAGATCTCTAGGCTGTAGGTTCTTTGTTAGGAAACTGAATACATGCCACTTTACATTTGAGAGGCAAGGCAAGCAGCTCCCTCTGGTACACATGGCAATGCCGCTTTGTGCAGCAGCCCACAATGAGAGTGAAAACATGGAGCAGCCGATACCCTTTCAAAGACAAGGTCTCAGCCCAGCCCCACAGCTACCACTCTGTAATGGCCGCAGCAGAATCCCATTTTTTTTTATCAAGCACCTAGAATTGTGCAAGAAGCAGTGGTCAGAAAGCCTTTATTTAATTTCCAATGCAGGATCAAAAGTCTGGGTGAGAAAGGAATGAATTCTGGTCCAGAAATTCTCTTGTGAGAAATCTGGAGGAAGTGGTTGCATAAATTGCTGAGGATGGCTTTAGCTCCATCTGTGATTGGCTGCCAACAGCATTCAGTGCTGGGGGAGGAAACAGCTGCAGCCAGCACAGGGAACAGCCTCCTTTGAGCTCAATTTGTTGGCCTGTGAGGTAGAACATGCTTAGGGACAAGATCGCCAGAGACAGCTGAGGGTTAAACTTCCTGGCAAGATTTTAGGTTTAAAAAAACTCCAAAACAAAGAAAGAAAAAAAAAAAAGAAAAAAAAAAGGGGGGAAAGAAAATATACTGAGCATCAACAAGAGACCACATGCTTTTTAGAATCACTGCAAATGGACAGTACTGCAATAGTGGACAGAAAATAAAGAGGAACCCTGAAATATTATATATTTTTTCTCCCACTAATTGGAATGTTTATAATTAAAAAATATATCAAAAAATATATTTAATCCATGTTTTTCTTATGTAGCATCCAAGACAGAAAATTGAGGGCTGATGGATTTGATGGCAGATTTTTAGAAATAAGTTAATTACATAAAGTGATAAAACTGTGTGCCTGAAATTACATTGACTAAAATCATATGGTGTCTCTACAGCCTTAACAAAGTCTAGTTTGTTTCTCTGTAAGTGTTAACTCTGAACTCACCTGAGAAACACAGCTAATAATAATATGATGCAAATTAGGAAGGGCCAGATTCTGCCACGTTTACCATCACTGCTCCTTCCTATGTGTGCTGTGAGAAAGTCACATTGACACCAATGGGAATATGGTGACCACAGCTAGCCTCAGGACAAAAAAAGGTGTCTGTAAAATTCCTGCATATGCCATAGTCATCTGAGCAAATAAAGGTTCATGTTGTTTAGCAAGGAAGCAGACTAATACTGTGCGTGCACAGCTTAAGACATTCTAATGAAAAGACTTCTTGAGACAGAAAAATGAGATGCATGCATATTCATTCTAAATACTAAAGGAAATATTTTATATATGCAACTCCTAAGAAACTTTTTCACTTATCTTACACACTAAATGTTTTAGATGACTAAACTACTATAATATTTGCAGTGTCCACAGAGACGACTCTAAAGTAACACCAGAAATATCAAAGTAAATCGTTTATCAAAAGCATAAATTGCAGCAATGTTGGGGTGACCTCAGTATATTTGGAAGCCCCAAAGGAAAGATCAAAAGGCAGGTGAATGTATTGATACTTCGTACAGCAGGAAATGTGCTTATAATATGACATCTCTTGATGTTCTATAATTATCCACAATTGAGAAGTTTCATACCAGATAGCCCAGTTTACAAATAAAAATCAAATCTTTTAAAACTCCGCTTCTGAAAGCCTGATTAAGTACTGAAAATTAAGCAATGTTCCTACAGTTTTGCAGAATGCAACAAACCATCAGAAACAACAAAGATTTTGGAACTTACTGGTAATTCTGTGAATGGTGAATGAGGCAGAAGAGCATGGCTTGTGCTTTCCTGGCTCAGAAGTGCTGGCCATAGCAAAATGTAATGTTGATATGTGAAATAGAGTGAACTCAGAAAACACATGGCTTAGGAATTAGGTGGTGTGTTTGGAAGAGGCCAATTTTTCAGCCTATCCATTCCTTAAGCACCGTTTTAATACCTTCTCTTTTGGCTGCTGAAATTTAGGAGGTACATATTAGTGCCCTATGGAGGAGGAGGCAGAGGAGGAGAACAAGGAGGAGAAGGAGTGTCAGTGCCAGCTACACAGCCCTTCCAGTACCAATTACTGATCATTTCACATAGCGGTTTGGCAGGAAGCCAAGTACCTCACGTTTAACCTGGTTAGATGTAAGGCACTAGTGTGAAGGTACATAATTAACAAAATTACCAGCTAAATTCCAGATTCTTTACTGTTGCTATAAATCCCAGCTCAGAATCCTCTACCAGTCACTAGATGAATACTTAAGCCAGTAAGAAGAGCCAAAAATATTCTCTTACGTTTGTTGCTAAATATTTGTCTCCCGCCAATGTCAGTAACTTTGGTTTGTCTCCTTTCCCCTGCTAGATGCTCCAGAAGAAACTGATCCAGCTCCTTATAGGTGCTGTGAAACACATGCCCTTGCTCTGCCTGCAGAGCGATTGCTTGTTCTAGCAAACTTAAGTTCCCTTTTTTTTTTTCTAGCTCAACCGATGCTTCAGTGGTTTCTGACAGGCACTCGTTGTCGTCTTCTTCACTTTCAGGGAAAGGATTCTGAATTCTCTTCTCAAAAGGATCTGAGTGAGACTCCTGGGGTGCTCTTAGCTCTGTTTCCGAGTCACAAAGTGTTTCACAAGGGCCAAATTCTAGCTCTTCCTTCTTAATTTCTGGGACTTCCAGGATGCTAGGTTGATTACACTCTACAATGTATTTCTGAGTTGCATGGGGCTTTACACTAGTTTCTTCTGACAAATTTGAGGAGCTGTCCCACTCATTGTCCATAATTTCAGAGTTACTTTCATTTTCCTCAGATGAACAGTATTTTGGATCAGAAATAACAGTCTTTTCCTTTCCTTCAACTGAGTTAATCATGTAACATTCATCAGTGTCATCACTTTCTGCTTTTAAAGATTGAATGCCGCTATCATTTAGATTTTCTGCCACGGTTTGACTGGGTGCATCTTTTGCTAATTTTCCCATGTTCACCAAAGATTTGGCTACAGCATCATGGTAGCTGGAATAGTTCTCATTTCTTTGACTATAATTTTCTTGGCCACCTGAATGAGGGGCTTTCTCAGATGATTTTGGAGTACTCTCCTCTGTGCAAGAAAAAAGCAGGAGAAAAATATGAAAGAATAATTCCTTTTTTGTATCTTGTAGAAGTGTTATGAAGATATTTACTTACCAATTGACACACGTTACTCAAAGGTACTCCAAAATTATTGAATTCGCACCAAGGCTGTGGTTGAAATGACTGCTTGTAGCACCAGGGAAAGCCCTTGTATGAGTATATTTATGTTATATTACGGTTTCAAAGCTATATAACAAATAAATATATTGCCATTTTTTACTGATGGTGTAGACATACCATCCTAAAACACACATACATTCATATTAATTCATTTAAATATAACATGCCATATATAGGTACTACATAGATATACACAATTTATATAATATATGCATCTATATACATACTAGCAGACACACATTTTAGAACTCTTCTGATGTATTTTTCACTTCTTGGTCATCTAAGATTCCCAAATACTTTCTCAAAATAGACTCTAAATTCTTTCCCAGTCACCCAGATCCCATGAAAGACCTTGGTGGAAAAAAACCTTCACAAGGGACAAGCTCCTGGTCACCACTGCAACTGCCACGTTAAGTGATAGATCAGGTCATGCACAGGCAAACAGAAATGGTTGTTATGTACAGACTCATAAAGGACTTGTTAAAGACACCACTGAAGTGCATCCTGTCTTTATAAACATCTTTCTTCGGAAGAAAAGCAGCAGCCAGCAGGTAGTAGAGGGTGCATGTAGGAGAGGTTGATGGTGGGGAAGACAATATGCCTTTTGTATCTCATTTAATTTTTTATAAACATTTCCTCTGACAAGGACACTCAAAAAACATCTCTATCATCTTCCTTTCTGGTAATTATCTCTCTAAAATCAACACTGGTTTGCCAGGATCAAGTAAATATTGCCATAGTAACTAAAAGCATTTTTGGATGAAGGGAAGAATTTAGTCACAACACTAGCCCCTTCAATAATGCTGATTATAGGGTACATTCTTTTGTTGGGATCTATTCAACATAAACTGAAAAATTTAACATTTTACTTCCTAGAAAGGAGGATGAATAAACAAGCACAGACTACTTCTAAGATGCGTCTGTCGTCTCCTGAATCAGAAGAACTCCAGGTTTAAATAATAAATTAAGCATAGTCTAAAATGCAAATTAAGTTTCTCTCAATAACACAGCGAGCTATTAAGAGAAAGTGTAAAGGGTTATGATAATTTTAAAGTATTATGAACTACAGAAAACAAATAAAAAGCATTTTCAGTGAATATGTCCAATTCATTGAACTATTCTCTCAATCCACTTAACTACCCACATGTGTACAATAATGATTTATAGACATTATACCTAATTATGCATATTTGGGCTGTGTTAGAGTGCCTAACAAAAGCTCTAGAAAGCAACAATTACCTCTGTTGCTTAGCTACATAGTTTAAAATATTCCTATTAAGTGCAGATTATTGTGGAGGGGAAAAGGGGGACAAAAATGCACATGTGCACCACAATGCATTTCACTTTACTGCTGCCAAACTGTTAGCATTTTGGGTCATTTCCAGTTTACATAATTGTTTGGTTCAACTGTTTGTTATATGTTAAAAGAAAATATTGATTAATTCTTATTCTTTTTCAGAAAATGGGATGCATGCAGGGTGAGGTGGCCTTGTGCAATGTGTGCATAAAGTTCTGTTTAAAAAAAAGTCTGTAAACCTTAGTATAACTTCTCAGCAGCTGGTCTAATGCCACATATTGCAGTATTCTGAATAAAGAAGTCTGCTATCTTTTCATGTCTCAGCAAGTAAAATTGGGGATTTGGCTCTATAACCATCTTCATTCAAATGGATTTTTACTTTTTGCTCTTCAATTTAGAAAATAACAAAATCCAATCAGTGGGTCATTTAAAAAAGTAAGAAGCTGTAGTTTTAAAAGAAATCTCCCACCCTTCAAAATAAAATAAAACTTGATAAAAGTAATAGGTCTTTTCAGTTACTTTTCCATGTCAAAGATGAAAAATAATATAACTGCATGAACACAGATTTTTGCTTTTAAATAATCAGCAATTTTAAAATGCACTGTTTAAAAATTTGTTGTTGAACCAGTCTTAATGGTTCAGCTGTCCCAGCTTTGCTTCTCACTTCTAAGGTTGTAAATTTACTTTAAAAATAACCAAAACTCAGCTTAGTTTACAGTTGCATCAATTCATGAACTAAAGCATTATCTGATCAACAGAAAAGGATCATGTGCTCATAATAAAATGATCAGTATTACACTAAAATATTGCAACTAAACCTACATACCCAGAATCACTGTATGCTTTAGCTGAAATTTGCTTTATAGCTGTCAAAATTGATGCAAAAGGATAGGCTGCATTAAACCTGACACAAGCAGATTGGGAGGAATCTCACTGTTATCAAATAAACCTTTTTAAAGCAAGTGAATTTTCTTGTGACTGAAAGATTGGGTGCAAATAGGGTTTCCCTTCATTTCTCAATGGATCTGGTCCAACACTTGCCCTTTTTTAAAAAAAGAACCAGTTAAATAACTTCAATTCATCTGTTATGTGGCACAAGTTCTGTCTTTGCACGCATTACAGTAATTTATCTTCAGTGAGTTCCTCAAACTGTGCAGAGGACACATAATAGGAAAAGAAAAATACATTACTGAGGGTAGCTCTGGATAACTTCAAACCAGACTGAATTAAATAGAAGAAAAACTAGCTAAAAAATGTGTATCCCCCACAAAAAACCCCCAATCAAACCATACAGGAAGTCTTACTCAAACAACTTGCCTCCTGGTGTTAGGAGAGAAAAATACTCCATGCAGTCTGGTCAGGCACTGAGAACGATAGAGGTTTTTTTTCTAGATGAATTTAGCTTAGTCATGTCTCCCAAAACACAGAGACATTTGATACCACCATGTTAGTTAACATTCCATTTGAAGAGGAAGCTCCTTTCCAGGGTTTCACATTGATGGGATGCAGATCCCTGGAAGAGACTCCTCCTAGAAGACTTACAAGTGAAAACTGGCTGAAATCTTTGCCATATAGAAATGACACAAAGACTTCCACTGATTTCAGATTTGACTCTTTTATCTGAAAGACAGTCTTCTTCTTCTATGTGTTTAATAGCATTCATTTGGCATGGGTAAAGATATAAATTAATAATCTCAGTTCAACAGCCCAGGTTGCAAGGGACCTCAAAAGATCATCTCATTCAACTTTTTGAGGAAAGGGAGCATAGATGTGATTATCTAGCACCCTGTCCTGACAAAATATTTGATAAGTAGGATCTGAGTGGAAAATTAATTACCTTTAAACTCCCATAGCAACCAGCTATGAGTGGAATATAAGCTCATTTGGTATTCATGTTATCTATGATTATTAATTTCCCAGTGCCATATCATGTTGTTTTATCTTGACATTTGGTCAAGATGACTAATGGCTCCTCCCTTTAAAACAAATGCAGAATGTAGTTCACTAATATCTTCTCACTTGCCTGATCAACAATTTTTGCTTCTTAAATAAATATGTAATGTGTAATTTAGTTTGATTTTATTATTTTTTTAAAATCTTGAATATCCATTAAAAAAAAGAAAGAAAGAGCAATATAGACATACTGTAGATGTATCTTTCTGTCTCCCCGTCCTCTTCCATATTTTCCAGTAAGCACATGATAGAAGTTTCTATAAATTGTTGGACATGTTTGGCTTAGCAGAGTTGGAATAACAAGTGTAAAAGTGCTGAGTCTAATAATCGTGTTAAACAGAACACACGTAGCAGTCACATGCATGAAATTGCTTTGCTAAATTTTAAAGTCAACAATGTTTTGCTAAGCATTTTTTTTTCTTCCTAAGAGCTCTATATATTCCATTGAAAATCTGCTCTTCATAAATGTGTTTTTTGCAGTGGTGAGCTTAACCTTGTTTCTTTGACAGAGCCAATGGAGAAGCAGATGCTGCTCCATATCTGACCTGCTGCAGTAGTTGTCTCTCTGTATGACCTACAAAGCATTTACTAGACCCCAGGGGGAGTTATTGTAAACAATAATTGGAAGTATGATGGCTGAACTTAGACAGAAATGAACCATTATAACTCTGATAGAAGTAAAACACATTCTGCATCCTGTTTGAAAATGCTGCTTAATTTCTGTGGAATTCAGAGGTTCAAGTATAGACACACTGCACAACTACCTGGAGTTGAGCTGCTTTCGAGGACACTGATCTCTTCCTGTAAATCTGTTCTGTCTTCATTTTCCTCTTTGCATTCCAAGCTGGGGCTGTAGTGGCGGGGTTTCATTAAGAGGGACTTTCTTTTGTTGATGGGAACACCTGGTATCTGTTCTTCAGCTTTTCTCTTCTTAGCCATGGAGCATTTGTAGGCACTGCAACGGTCAGTCGGCAATCATAGAGAAAAAAGTGGGAGGGTAAATTGTTTAAAAAATAGCAGCATCTTCCAGTTTAATTCTAAGTAGGAAAGTGAGGATTGTTAAAATATTAATTCACTTGCAGTTTCAACAAGTTGTGTTTTGTGGATATTTAATTTTAGCTCTGGTACTCAAAGTTCGGGGCACAGGCAAGTCCCATTCCTTTTCACTGTTGCCAAAATCTGTTTAGGGGAAGAGGAATGAGGAGGAAGAGAAAACAAAACAAAATACACCAGCATCCTTAATCCTACAGAAGCATATGCTGTTCTAAGCCTTGCTCTGCAGCAAAATAAATACATCCAGGAAAGGATGAACAAATCTGTGGTCTGGCTTGATAATCTAGAGAAAAAGATAAGGGGAAAAATATACAGCCAGTTACACTACAACATCCTGAGTCTTTGGCTCTGTTACGTGTACATGATATAGAATCCAGTCATGCACCTTGAATTCAGCATAAAATCTATGTGAAACACACTGTGCCTTCAGAAAATTTTGCAATAAGGGTCCTTCTTTACTATCAGTCCCAAGCAATGGTTTAATTTAATTAACTCCAGCCATAAATGCCTAGTTTAAGCTCTTCTCAGATTGCTATATGGACTGGAAAAAAAAGGCTTCTCTAGAAGGCAATTCAACCCACTTCAAAAAATATTTATCTAATATACAACATGAGCCATCCTCTGTGAAAGGCCTTGCCCAGTCTAGATGCCTTTCAGTTGACCAACATGAGAAGTGACAGCAGGATTTTAAAGATTATTTTTTTTAGCAGATTTAATATACTTGTTTCAGGTCCTATCAGATTTACATATTGATCTGTGTACAATTTGCTTCTGCAAATGATTAGCAAACACTTTGCTGCCATGCAGCTGATCTGTACAGCACATAGATGTTACATCATGTGAGATCTCACTAAGGAGGCCTGAACCTTCCACCTTTTTTTTTTTAATAACTTTTTGTGTAAGTGATTTAGCATGAATTTATCAATCTCTCACACACAGGGTTCTAACAAATTACTGTAGGACGAATAATGGTGCTCATAATGTATCTGTTTGAGATGAAAAAACTGCATAAATGAATCTGTGTAAACCACTCAATGGTTTCTCAACCTTAGGAACCTCTAGGGTGCACTACAAATCTACACGATGTCCCTAGGTGTTGGATTTTGCATTTGACATAGCTGCAAGATTTGCTAAATAAATCCATGTATGCAGAGAACTCTTATTGGACACACATATTACAAGCTCAACAGCGTAAATTAATCCTTCCAAGGTATCTTATGTGCACTAAATTGGCTCAGGTTCTGATTGTTTCAGATGAAAGCATATGACCAACTTGAGCTTTTTGTTAAAAAAACCCACCCATTTTTGGCTAAGCACCTTTCTGGCAATCCATCATTGCAAACATGAAGGAAACAGAAATAAAAAGATCTGCATTTCAGGGGGAATGTAAAAATTCTACCATATTAATCTTAAAACACTGGATATCCTTGATCTTCTGAAAGTTAAATGCTATGGGCATGAGGAATACTGGACACTAAACACCTGCTGTAGTTGAATATATTATGGCTTCTGTGTTATTTATTTATGAATAGTTGATAGCATTAATATAATGATAAAGGTCAGAATCACAATGGTATAAATGTCCCCTCGGAAATGATACTCATATAACAGACATCAGAGATGGACATAGTGCAGACAAATGTGCATAATTTACTTCTAGGAAATTAAAATAAAGTGTTTCTTAACTCATATTTGAGAACAACAGATCATACTATTCATGTCATTTCAGGAAAACTGAATAAACTACAAGTATTTGAAAACGCCTCATACAAAATTCTTTTTATTGACCAAAACCTTCACTAAGTTTGCTTTTGATCTTTCTCATTAATTTGTCAAGCTTCAGGTTTGCCTCCAGAAACTACTGTGAGAGTGTTTAGCAAAAAATGATTTTCCAGTCTCAATTCCCCTTTGACAAAGCTACAGCTGTTTCTTACACAAGCATAATTGACAGATTTTTAGAACAGAAGATAAAATTAGATCATCTAGTATGCACTCCTGTGCAACACAGCTCACAGAACCTCATCTAGTTCTTCAGTTTTAATCCTGTAATTTGCCTGACTACTGTGTATCCTCCAGTCAAGTTAAGGGAAAACATGGTAAAATGGTAAGTTGATTTCTCTATACTTCCTCACAAAATACAGTCTTTCTCTAGGAAGAAAGTTGTTATAAGCCTACCACTGTGGGCTGGCACAACAGCTATTAAAGATGTTGTTTTTTCACCACAACTCTGAAAGAGAGCCCAACTCAGATGTCAGCAGCCCACAGTCAGGACCAGTGCAGGGGTACTGCTGCCACCTGCCACCTGCAGATCTGCTCTGGGAAATGAAAGCACAAGAATCCCACTGGATGGTAACTACCATGGTTTACAGCTGTAAATCAAGAGCTGCTGTACTGATGTCAGGACAGGAAGCCCATGAATCACTCTGGAAGCATATTGCTCATGTTAAAAAGTTTCTCCTCATTGACAAATTGATGCATTAGCTGGTCCTTACCTTTTCCTGTAGACAAGCAGCCACTCACCTACATTTTCTCTACACTTCCCATCATTCTAAAATAAGTGAACACATGAGATTCATCTTTAAGTAAAATAATTTCTGATGACTTCCACTCTGATTACAGGTGAAAGATAAAACACAATTGATGCTTCTTTCCTAGGAAGTGCAAATTGCTCTCCATAGGCTAGGAAGAGATTTTTCAACTCCATCAGAGTATACTCTTGTTTTTGTTGGTGATTTTTTAAACTGCTGATTTTGAGTTTTAACTGAAATCTGTTCTCAGCAAGAGCCAGTTTAAAGATCTACTATTTACCAGCAAGTCTCCTTCTTTACCTTACAGGGCTTATAAGTGAAAATAAAAATAAAACCAGAAAAACATCTTCACAAGTGGTAGATATTTTTTAAAGTAATTACACGTGATTTGTTAAGTATTCGATAAAGGACGGTGGATATTTAACTGCTATGAAAAGAATATATTTATGCCTTTGTAACATTTGTGACATGTCAGATTCACCTTTGTCTTAAAAAGTTTCTATTTCTCTCTTTTGCTTATGTCAATGCACACATACACACTCGTACGTTAGCACAGATTTGTCAAGCTGTAGTTTGTCAAATGGTAAACCTATAATTTTGCTTCTCTATTACTCATCTCATAAATTCAACATTTAATAGGTTTGTTGCTATTTATCAATGGCCTGCTTGTTGTCATGGAACACTGATTCAGCTGTCAAGGTTATTTGGTAATCGGAGGCTCATAAAACAGGAGAAGCTCTTTTTGTCATGAGCCCAAAGCAAATACATGGATATTTTTCCCAATTTAACTGTACTTAAATTTTATTAATAATAAATCATTTTAGTACTATCAATACTGAGCAGATTTTTTGTTAGTATTTTTTTAGTGAATGACTCAGTTACCAAAACCAGCCTTGTCTCGGTTATCATAATGTGAGCCAAGAGGCTGAAATCTTAGACAGGTAAGACCTGGTTATATGTGTTGGAAAAACACCATTATAATTTTTTTCCATATGTGTTTCATGCCTAATTTTTTAATTATTATTATTATTTTTAAATTTTTTTGGTAATTGGTTCATCTAAGTGATGTGTTTGTCAGGCTTTTAACCTGAGCTTTAACCACTCTGTAACCAACAAAGATTGTTTGCTGTAAATCTGTTGGCAAGACTTCAAGACACAGCAGCCTGCAGATTGGTAAAGCATGATAACAGAGGAAAGAATTGCCATAAAAGATAAAACCAGAGGTACTTTCAGTCTGACAATCAGTTTTTTCTAATGCCTGTAATGGATGCCATGTAAAATCAGAATGGAATATACCGTAAGTCACATATATTCCTTAGATTCAAGAGAGAAAAGAAATGTCTTTGAATATCAAGGCACTTATATTCATTGTTTAAGATATTTAAGAAGCTCACTCCTCAAGTCAGTTTGTGCAAGAAAAATTAATCGAACATTTTAATTTCTGGAGAAAATAATTTTAAAGTCTTAACCTGAATGCCTTTTGGCTATTTGCCTGATTATACTACAAAAGTAAACATTAGCGTCTTGAATTACAATTAAAGGAGACAAGCTTCTGATCTACAGAACCATTTAACTTCACACCAGTAGTTACAAGGAGAAGGTTATCTTAATTGTTTCTCAATCATATGGTAATTTAAAATGTTGCCAGATGCTTTAGGCCATAACCAGGTTTTGTTCACAAACTTGCAGATGCCCTAAGACACTGTGGAAGTGAAATACTACATTTTCCTTCCAGCAGGGAAAAAGTTGGTATTCAAAGATTCAGGGACACTTGCTGCTTATAGCTGAACCAGTGGCTTACAAATGTCTGTTGTGGTTGGGCTTCCAAAAATTTTAAGACAATTGAATCTGAAGTACATAAAATGAAAAAAAAATTCTGAATGTCTCCCCACCTTAGCTGTCTTCTATGTCAAGAAACAGATGTGCAGGATTCTGTCTAGCTCTCTAGAACAATGGCTTCCAAAATTTTAGGCTATAGGTGAAATTATCTGATCCCCCCAAATCACACTAAAATCCTGAACTCTTTTAAACTGATGGTGGATGGAAGAAATTACTAGCAAAGGGTCCAGAAAGGGGGATGATCTGCTCCTAGGACAGGTCACATGTCAGTTGAAATGACCTTGATGTTATTGTTTACATCAACCATGAATGCTGGAAGTTCATGAAAGGAGCTGGAATGTTGGAGTTCGAAGGAGGAGAACATTGGCAGCCTGAACAATGCAAATGAAAAGCCAAATGAATACTGTCAGTTACAGCAACTTCAGATGGACAACAGCATTTGGTGTGAAAGGTGAAGAGTGACTATGACTCAAGTGTTTGCTTTGTCTTCAGGTTAAGACACTCAGGTATATGTTCTGTTTCCTTAACTAACCCT